AATGATCACTTTTACATTTCCCCAAAAGTTTTGAAAATAGTATTTGTTATTGCTCAGTTCTAAGTATTATTACTTAATTTCCGTTATTAATTGTCCTTTGACTTGTGAGTTATTGAGATGCCTGGTTTTAAATTTCCAAATGTATGGGGTTTTCAAAAACGTACTTTATGCTAGTGACTTCTAACTTAGTTACAGTATGATCAAAGAATATGCTACCCATATATTACCTATAATTTACTGTTTGTTGAAACTTGCTTTATGGCCAATTATATAGTCACTTTTTAAAATGACCCATGACCCATGTGTGCTTTGCTTGGGAAAATGTCTATTTGCTAATTGTGGGATACACAAATCTATATTATATCCACTAAATCAAGTTTGTTAATTGTGTTAGCAAAATCTGTATCATTACTAAATTTTTGTCTGCTTAATCTACTGTTAATTGAGAAAGAAGAGTTGAAATCTTTAACTCTGATGGTGGTTTTGTCAACTTATTTTCCCTATCAATGTATTTCTATCAATGTTTACGTTGTACGCTTTTTTTTTTTTTTTTTTTTTTTTTTTTTTTTTTTTTTTTTGAGACACAGTCTCACTCTGTCACTCAGGCTGGGCTACAGTGGTGCAACCTCTGCCTCCCAGCCTCAAATGATTTCTTTCCACCTCTGCCTCCTGAGTAGCTGGGACTACAGGTGCATGCCACAATGCCTGGCTAATTCTTTTGTAGTTTTTGTAGAGATCGGGTTTTACCATATTGCCCAGGCTGGTCTTGAACACCTGGGCTCAGGCGATCCACTCACCTCAACCTCCCAAAGTGTTGGTATTACAGGCATGAGCCACCATGCCCAGCCTTGCTTTATATATGTTGAGGCTGTTAATAGATGCATACAAGTTTAGAATATCTTCTAGGTAAGTTAAACCTTATATCATTAGGTTGTAATCTTCTCTATTGATAACAATGTGTTTTTGTCTAACAATTTATTCTTTTGATATTAATACATCCACCCCAGCTCTCTTTGGGTTAGCATCTGCTTAATGGATCTTTTTTCCTTTTCAAAGAATTTTTGGCTGAGCACAGTGGCTCACGCCTGTAATTCTAGCACTTTGGGAAGCTGAGGTGGGTGGATCATGAGGTCAGGAGTTCAAGACCAGCCTGGCCAACATGGTGAAACTCTGTATACTAAAAATACAAAGATAAACTGGGCATGGTGGCGGGCACCAGTAATCACAGTTACTCGGGAGGCTGAGGCAGGAGAATCATTTGAACTTGGGAGGCAGAGGTTACAGTGAACCAAGATTGCACCATTGCACTCCAGCCTGGGTGACAAGGGAAGACTATCTGGCAAGACGGTCTCAAAAAAAAAAAAAAATTTCAACTTGTCTGGATCTTTACATTTTAGATGTGTTTCTTGTAAACAACATATTACTGGATTTTATTTATTTAATCAAAACTCTCTTTTAGCTGGCAATACTAATCCTGTTACATTTATTTTGATTATTTACAGTTTTTTTTTTTTGAGATGGAATCTCGCTTTGTTACCCAGGCTGGAGTACAGTGACACGATCTCAGCTCACTGCAACCTCTGCCTCCCAGGTTCAAGCGATTCTCCTACCTCAGCCTCTCAAGTAGCTGAGATTACAAATCAAAAGGCTTGGCTAGTTTTTTTTTTTTTTTGAGATAGGATTTTGCCATGTTGGCCGGGCTGGTCTCAAACTCCTGACCTCAAGTGATCCACCCACTTCAGCCTCCCAAAGTGCTGGGATCATGGGTGATTATTTACATGTTTGGATTTGTTCTTACCAATCTTTTATTTTTATTTGTCCAGTTTCTTCCTATGTGGACTTTTACTCTTTCCTTGCTTTTTTGGCATGGAGTTCTTGTATTCATTTTCTTATTATTGCATTTTTCCCATGTGTAGAAATTTTTAAATGCATTTCTATTCTTTTGGGGAATACCTTTATTTACTGTAGTTTTTAAACGCAGGTTTTCACTCTTGCCCAGGGTGGGGTACAGATGTTGTAGAGTGCACAGTCATGACCCACTGCAGCCTTGACCTCCTGGACCCAAACAATCTTCCTGCCTCAGCCTTTTGAGTATCTGTGACTACAGGCGCAGGCCACCATGCCCAGCCAATAGTTATATTTTTTGTAGAGACAGGATCTCCCTATGTTGCCCAGGGTGGTCTCAAACTCCTGGGTGCAAATGATCCTCCTGCCTTGGCCTCCCAAAGCACTGTGATTACAGGCATGAGCCACCAGGCCTGTCCAAATACCTTCAAAAGTATAGGCCAGGCACATAAACGTTTAGGCCAATCACAGTGGCTCATGCCTGTAATCCCAGCACTTTGGAAGACAGGCAGGAAGATCACTTGAGGCCAGGAGTTTGAGATCAGCCTGGGTAACACAGTGAGACTCTGTCTCTACAAAAAACTTTAAAAATTAGCCGGGTGTAGTAGCATGCACCTGTAGCCCCTGCTACTTGGGAGGCTGAGACAGGAGGATCACTTGAGCATAGGAGGTCAAGGCTAAAGTGAGCTGTGATCATGTTGCTGTACTACTGTACCCTGGGGGACAGAGGGACACCCTGTCTCTAAAAAGAAATAAGTAAGTTTAACTCTAAAAACTCTAGAGTTAAACAATATCTTAATTCCCCTTTTAATCACGGACCTCAGAATATGTCAACTCTCTCATCCTCCTGACAAACTGTATTCTGCCTTTGTTTATCCCACAGGTTTTTCTTGTTGTTGTTGTTTTTGAAACAGAGTCTCACTCTGTCACCTAGGCTGGAGTGCAGTGGCGCGATCTCGGTTCACTGCAACCTCCACCTCCCGGGTTCAAGCAATTCTCCTGCCTCAGCCTCCTGAGTAGCTGGGATGACAGGTGCCCACCATCACGTCCCAGCTAGTTTTTGCATTTTTAGTAAAGACATGGTTTCACCATTTTAGCCAGGCTGGTCTTGATCTCCTGACCTCAGGTGATCTACCCACCTTGGCCTCCCAGAGTGCTGGGATTGCAGGCATGAGCCACCGCCCCCTGGCCTATCCCACCGTTTTTATGACTTTTTCATATACAATGTTGGTTTAGATTTACCAAAATATTTACCATTTTATTTGTTCACCATTCTTTCTTACACCTCAGATCGTTCTGTGGATCAGATATCTCCCTCCTAAACTATGCCTTCAGAAATTGCTGTGGTGAAAGTCTGATTTTAAAATATCAGTTTTTGTTCATCTGAAAATATCTTTATTAAGAGATTTTTTGGAGGAGTGCACAATTCTGGGTTAACAGTTACAGTTGACCATTGAATAACTTCAGGGATAGGACTGCTGAACTCCCAATGTAGTTGAAAATCTATGTATAACTTCGGCTCCCCAAAACTTAAGTAATAATAGACTACTGTTGATGGGAGGCTAACCAGTAACATAAACAGTTGATTAACAAATATTTTTCATGTTATATGTATCATATACTGTAGCCTTACAACGAAGTAAGCTAAAGAAAATTGTAAGGAAGAGAAAATATATTTACTGTTCATTAAGTAGAAATGGATCATGATGAAGGTCTTCAGCTTCGTCCTCAGGTTGGGGAGGCTGAGGAGAGGGGGTTTGTCTTGCTGTCTCAGCGGTGGCAGAGGAGGAAGAAAATCAGGTAGAAGTGGATTCACATGGCTCCAACCTGTGTTGTTCAAGGGTCAACCGTATTTTCCCAAAATGCTATAAAGATATGACACAACTGTTTTTTGGATGTCACCGTTGTTGACAAGTCTGCTTCCGATCGAATTATTTCCTTCTAGATAATCCGACTTTCCTTTCTGAATGCCTTTAAGATCCTCTCTTTGTTTTTGATGTTCTTCACTTTGACCACTGTGTATGTGTATGTGCATGTGTGTGTGTGTGCATGTGGAGAAGGCTTATCCTTGGAGATATGGGTTATTTCTCATGAGCTCAGCAATGCTTTAAAAAGTACATTTTACCCATAATCCAGTTGTTTCATAAGAGGAAGGTCCTTAAGACTATCTGGTCCATCACAATTCCAGAAGCAGAAGTCTCCGTGCTGCTTTGTATGTGCACAATTGTGTGTGTGCACAGTGGCGCGGTGGAAACCTCTGGGTGCACACATCCCTCCATGCCTACCTCAGTGTGTGTGTGAGCCTTTAGGGTGCACATTCCTCTGCTATTTTTCTAGCTCAAATGCCAGCCTTTCAGGTCGGGGGATTCGCTTTCCGTGACTCTCATTCCCTCCTGACAACCTCACCGTACCTACTCCCCACGGTCAGAGTAAGCACTGGCTGCTGTCTGGTTTTTACACCTGTTGGGGAAGAGTGTATCAGTCAGGGTTCTCCAGAGGGACAGAATAATAGGGAGTGTGTGTGTGTGTGTGTCTGTGTGTGTGTGTGTGTGTGAGAGAGAGAGAGAGAGAGAGAGATTATTAGGGAGAACTGGCTCACACAATCATAAGGAAAAGTCCCACGATCTGCAAGCTGGGGAAGAGAGGAAATGGTAGCGGCTCAGTCTGAATTTGAAAGCCTCAAACCAAGAAAGCTGGCAGTGCAGCCTTCAGCCTGTGGCCAAAGGCCCGAGAGCCCCTGGCAAGCCACTGGCGCAAGTCCCAGAGGCCAGAGGCCAGAGAACCTGGAGTCTAGCATCTAAGGCTGGGAAGAGTGGGAGGAAGCATCCAGTACGGGAGAAAGAAGCAGCCAGAAGTCCCAGCGAGCAAGGTGATCCCACCTTCTTCCACCTGCTTTTGCTGTAGTCATGCTGGCAGCCGACTGGACAGTGCCCACCCACACTGAGTGTGGGTCTTCCTCTCCCAGTCCACTGACTCAAAGGCCAACCTCCTCTGACAACACCCTCACAGATCACCCAGAAACAGTACTTTGCATCCTTCAGTCCAGTCAAGCTGACACCTAATATTAACCATCACAAGGAGAAGTGCTGGGAGAGCCATGGGGAGCCCAGCCCCTCCTCACCGCACCTCTGCCTCCCTGCCTGTCTCATCCACAGCTCTGCCCCTGAGGACTGCACGTCCTTTAGCATCGATGCCTCTCCAGGGGTGGTCGTGGATACTGCCCACAGTCCTCCCACGAAGAAGATTCCCACAGGCTCCT